AGACGATAAACTACGTCCAGCAGCAAGGCCTGTGATCAGGAGGTTCTGAGGAGCGTGGAACCACCTCTTAATTGCTGGTGTTCCCCGGTCTACTCCGACCCGGTGTGGTAGCACCTGTTAGGGTCCCAGCTATGGGCAAATAGTTAACACCGAAACAGAAGTAAAAAGCATTATGAAAGTCTAAAAATATGTTTTAATACCAGAAGTACATTGTAAAAAAGAAAAACTATTACCAGAAATAAATTTTCGAAGAAAAAAAAAACTATTACCAGCAATACGTTTTTGAAAAAAAAATATTACAAGCAATACATTTTTAAAATAATATTACCAGCTATACATTTTTGAGAAATAGATTTTTGACAAAAACAGAATACCAAAAAAAAAAAAAAAATGTTGGCATTAAATGACCCATTGAGGTTGATATACCGTAAAACTAAAGAAACCAAAGCAAAGCAAAACAACGATCCGGATATCAAGTCTGTTGGGCTCAACTATGCGGTTTGTTTCGATGTTAAAATTCTTTTTTATATTTAAATTTGTTTTATTCCATGCTGCCGGAATAAACACATAACTCCAAGTGGATACTAGAAGAAAGGTTTATGGTACACAAAATGTACAATATGAGATACGGTACAGTTATACACACAGGTCAATCTAGTAGTGAGTGCCACTAATTGGAAGGTCAGACGTGCTTGTGTTGTCTCTCTCTCTCACTTCTTCTTCCTTCTCCTGAGTCTCTCATAGACGGTCGACTTTATAGGTACTTACTACCTATAGTGTAATCATTCATGGTGATGACTGGTAACTCCATTACATCAAAATTAGACAATTATATATTATCTAATTAAATAAAATAATAATAATAATATATTAGGTAGTTCCATGAATTCATTCTTTTTTTTTTTATAATTTATTTTAATACATATTATTTATTTTTCTGATGAATCATTAAAAAAAATGTATTAACCTTCATTGTGTACGGCATCCTGCCAACGATCCACTAACCGTTCAATGCTTCGAGAATAGAAACCACTTTCATTGTATCCGCGAGTGAAGCCTGGGCTCTAGCATTGGACATATCGAAAGCCTTTAATATGGTCTGTCATTCGGGTCTTCTTCACAAACTGAAATGTTACGGTATCTCTGGGCACATTTTTGAGCTGATCCGGTCGTTTCTGTCAAATCGTGAAATGAAAGTTGTCTTGAACGACCACTTAACTATATCAGTTTTTCATCTTGATTAACGAACTTCCCAACGAGATCAACTCTCAACTTGGCATCAATGCTGATAACACTAACATTTACTCCTGCCTCCATAGTAAAAAAAAAAGGTGCTTGCCATCTTCTCGGGCAATTTCTTCGTATGCCTGGCGCGGGTTTCCTTTCATAATCGCGTTCAATTGGTTTTAACGAAAATGAACCGGTCGGACAGACTGCGAAGAGTTTGTGCGTATTTCCCTCCTCTCACGGGAAAACCATTTCTATGCCATTCTATCGGTAATGACATCTTCTGCATATGCATCATGTATATCCCGAGCAGATTTGCAAGCTCTTTGACCTTGATTAGAAGAGAAGATGTCGAACTTGCTTACTTAGCACTCCATCTCAAAGAGGTGTCTAAGAGGTGTTTAATCTGAAAGAAAATTCCAATAAGCGCTAACAGAATGACTACAGTTACTAAAATGTAAAAAATGTTACGATTATTCTTCGAGATCATTCGAGAAAAATCAGAAAAGTAACGAATATATGTAACGATCTATTATTATTAGTAGTAGTATTAATATTATATTGTTTGTGTGATATATTTCTTTCTTTGTATTCTGTAGAACCGGTTCCGAACTATGGTCTTTAGGATCTATAGCAGAATTGTAATTTAACTGATAGCACTTTTATTAGATGTTCTGAATAGAGCGATCATCTGGACAAATTGTATGTTGACATTACCTGGGACACTGTTAATAAAATTCCTTTTCTCACGGGACCCAGAGATCCGATTACTATTGATAGTCATAGTCTTCATTCCCCACTCCTGTTAATCTCGATCTCCAAGTCCTTGTATTTGGATAATTTCTCGATAATTTTCATGCAGGTATTGCTATTTCTCAGATGGTACGTCTAGTTCAATAAGCATACACCTACTAAATTTCATGTCTTTTATGATAATAGAAGGTCTGTTGGCTGTTATTTCCCTATCAGTTTGAATTGACATGTCCCAGAGGATAGTTACATCGTTATTTTACCTAACTGTATCTGGTTGGTGCTCATACCATTTCTCAGTGGTTTCGATTTTGTGCTTCCAATGCACATATTTCGCTACCTTATTATGTCTGTGTATATTCATTTTTTGCTACTTCCGGACATCCTGAGGTAATGTGGTCAATAGTTTTATCATATTTTCCGTAGATTCTGCATTTCGGGTTAGTGCCATCCTTGAGTTTTTGTCATTATTATTATTATTATTATTATTATTATTATTATTATTATTTTCTTTGGTTTCTGGCGTTTACACATTTCTTTCCGGGTCCCGCCCAGAGACCTAAGGTTAGAAATAACATCATGACAATTTCCACTGACAAAATAAAAAACAAATTACATAGATAAAGCCCTTCGTACTTGTCAGAACAATTTTTTGTATTTCTTTGAGGCATGGCTTCCAGGAATCCCTTCAATTAGTCTACTAGAATTTTTCCAACCAATCCTAGGGCTCCAACTACAACAGGGATTGTTGATGTCCCCATAGGTCCTTGTATTTTGACAGCTTTTTGAATATCTTCAAAGATATATTGCAGTCAGCAGGGACTGCCATATCAATAAGGAGGCACTTTTTTGTTTGTGGTTTTTAATAACAATGTCTGGGCGGTTAGCTTTGATTGTTCTGTCAGTGTGTATTGTGTAGTCCCATAAAATGTTAACAGGTCCTATCTCCGTAACCGGGTCTGGATGGTGTTCATACCATTTTCTTTCAGTTTCCTTCCCGTAGAAGTTGCAGATTTTCCAGTGCAGATATTGGCCCACTCTGTCATGCCGAGTTTTATATTCAGTGGGTGCCAATATCGTGCAACCTGATACAATCGTTTCTGGATATTTATCAAAGAATCTGCATTTTGGGCTAACATTAGGATATTTGATAATTCCTAGTTAACAAGCATTGGTCCTGTGCAGCAAGGATAAAATCTTCAGTTTCAGCTTTCAACCTTGCACTACATAGCCACTGATGGGTACGGGTTTTGTCTACGTCAGCTTGTTTGGTACGGGAAGAGTATTGGCCAAGCGGTTTATCTTGCCATCGCTTCTGTATCTGGTCGGTTGCATTCGTCTTTGCTGTCTTTTTTAAAGTATTTTGCAGTTTCAGCCGGTGTATAGTGTTGTACTTGTTGTTGTTGTTATTATTATTATTAGATGAAATAGAAGCAAGCAAAGACAGTGACACTGGGATTCAAGATACAAAGACAATGTAGTCAGACTATTAAGATTAAATCTTACGGCCAAATCATGTTGAATCATCATACGATCACCAAATCCATACTTGATTGGTACATGGATGCGTTCCCACTTGCGAATACCAATTGATGTAAGATTGGATGTGCTTGTGATACAATGGATAATGGTTCGAAATTGTTGAGAACTGAGTACCAATTCCCGTTGGATTTGTTAATATTAACTTAGGCCCAAATACCGTTGGGGAAGGCATGAATACACATTTTCTCTCCCAGTTATGGGTTAAATAGTAAAATCTTGTATCACTAAATCATTATTATCTCCCATGAAAAAATTGTTCTAATTTTAAAATACTTCGTGGCTTTTAAATAACTTACAAAGTGTCGATAAGCCGTAAAAACGAATCAATCAGTGTTAAGACTATATCAGGCACACCCATCACAGCCAAATGAATGCGAAATAGTGACATGATTATATTTAGTCTATAACTTTGCAGGTGGTTCAATTTAGAAATAACTTCAGGTCGGGTAACCCCTTTCGTTTCCGATTGAGATGGTGCCCGATTATCTCGATGTGACCATCAAATCGCCTTCGATGCCTTATACCTGATCATAATACCTGTTTCCCGATATTCCTGCTCATGAACAGAGATGCATATGGTGTCCAGCCCCAGGCAACAGTCACGAATGGTTAGCGTCAGACAAATGAAAAATTAATCCCTGGTCTTTTTTATCTATGGCGAGTATCACACCAGGACGGGTACTCTTATGACTCCCCAGCGACTGTAAAATTTACTGTAGATCATATTAACTAACCACGAAAAATGTGTACATTTTAATACTTTCAATAAATTACGATCGGAAGGTAAGATAACCATACTGATGTTGCATCAGGATAATTATTATTATTATTATTATTATTATTATTATTATTATTATTGTTGTTGTTGTGGTAGTTTTCTTTGATTTTTTTGTATTCACATTTCCTTCCGGGTCCCAACCAGAAAGCTAAGGTCAGAAATGTATTCATGACATTTTCAATTGATCCTTTTACTATAAAAAAAAATTAGATCACCCATAATTAACATATATAAAACTTTTCATAATGTGTGAACTGTATTTGTGAGTACATTTTTTTCGTATTTCATTAAGGCATGGGCTACTAGTAATCGCTTCAATCAGTCTATATAAACCTTTTCCAATCAATCTGTGATCTTTAACTGGAATTGTTGAGTTTTTGAAGATCTTCAAAGATACATCATATTCTGCGTGGACTGTTGTGTTCATAAGAAGGTGCATTCTGTTTTTGTGGTCATTGATCACGATGTCTGGGCGATTAGCTTTGATTGTTCTGTCTGTGTGTATTGTAAAGTCCCATAAAGGCATTATTAAAATTATTATTATTATTATTATTATTATTTTGATTCAGCACAGCACATGATGTTGACTGCAGGAAAGATATTTATTTTTAGGTTACCTTTTGTAGCTAAGCTACATTTACAAATCACTATACAATATCTACAATACATACTAATACTCCACTGATCACTGGTACTAAACGCGTACGACCATATCCCGATGAGACGCCGGCTCCCGTCAGATCACCGAAGTTAAACTACGTAGTGTCTGGTCAGTAACTAGATGGGTAATCACTTGAGAATACCAGGTGGTTTATGCTTAGCTGTGTCAGTGGTGTAATGGATAACGTCTGGAAATCGGATAGCAGGGTTCTAATTCCAGGCGGGTCCGTAATATTCACTTACGCTCAAATACCCTTGGGAAAGGTATGAAAAATAGTAAGACTTGTATCAGTAATTCATTATTACCTCTCAAAAAAATTCTTAAAATCCAAAAATCTTTTCTGATATTAGTTAACCGGTAAAAGGTAGATAAACCATAAAAAGTAAAAATCATTCAGTCAGTGGTACTAAAATTACTTTATTTACCAAACGTCCATAATTTCATATTTCAAATTATTACAATAATCGATCTTCCTTTCTTTGTTTTCATTTCTTAGGTCAAATGGACAGGGGACTTCTATCTGGTAGCAAATCTTTTTCGGTTTCTCCGGTACGACTATATCTGGTTTATCTGCTCTAAAATTGTTACTGTCTGTATCGGAACATCCCACAGGATGTTCTTTTTGCTATTCTCTATCACTTTCTTCTCTTTTGTTTTATATATTTCTATACATCAGAACAATTTAAGTTAATTGAAGGACACAGTGGGAAAGCCTATTCTTATTCGGTTTCCCAACGCTTGTGTTTTATGGCAACAGAAGATTTAAGAAAGGTGAAATGCTTCAAGAATCTGGACGTCCATTTACCTTAGAAGATACAGAAATAAGTTCCCTTTCCATAATTTTCTAAATATTTCCGACTGATTAAATGACTTGATCGACTGAGGTTTGCGTATAGACACGTCGGACGCCATAAATTTAAAATTTAGCGTTCCTACCTCTTCAATATGTATCCTCTATGCATAATTATAATCAACAATTACGTCACCCCTAAAAACAAACGCACACGCTCTCTCTCTCTCTCTCTCTCTCTCTCACACACACACACACACACACACGCACACGACACGTGTGCGTGTGTGTGTGCCTGTGTGTGTGCGCCTGTGTCTAAAGATTACGGTCAAATGTAGACACGTCAGAAAATTAATCTTGGGGATCTACGAACCCGGATAAAGTTGAAATATTTTCTTTTCTTTTCACTACAACCACCAACCACTTCCGGTGTCGAATGAAGCCATTTATGTTGTTGAGTTGCCTACGACTTATTCACTGAACATACCACCTGACGAGACCTCAGTGGTCGAAACCATGGTATTGTTCCGGTCAGAATTCTTACCTTTTTAAGATATAAAAATTGTTCTGCAATTTTGGTTTTCCCACTTGAAATTAAGCACTTTTTAACGTATACGATTTTAACTAATATTTTATATTGGTATGATAAAAGATATACCTATACACACATATGCTTACACATACGTATAAATATATTCTTTCCTCAGGTGTTATAAATACACTTCTCAATGTTATGCTACACAGCTATAAGTATATATTAGTGAATATACATAATACCCAAAATTGTTATCACAATTTTCATGCAGTTTACTATTTTCAGGTGCTGAGTATATTCTGGCCGTTATACCATTCGTGTTTTTGTGGTTTAAAATTGTTTATTTATTATTACGTTAAATATTCTAATTAATTGTTTATAATTTATATCATTCAAATTCATAACCTCGAAAATATTATTTAAATTTCAAATAAGTAAATAAGTTAGGAATCAAGTGGGGAAACTCATTTTATTTATTTTTTCGCGTAAAATACCATATTACTATTGTGTTTTATGCGAAAAAAGAGAAAAAGTTAGCAAAACTCTACGAAACTCCGAATTGTGCTACCGACGTTGGATATTACATATATTCACCTATCTATATATATATATATATATATATATATATATATATATATATATATATATATAGAGAGAGAGAGAGAGAGAGAATTGTGTATTTGGTTAGCATTATCTATTTCATTTTCATTAAAGACGACTGATAAGGTACAGCGATTATGGTTTCTATTTAATTTGTCTTGTATTCGTATAAGGTTTTTCTTCTTTTATCGATACAAAATACAAGACTCATCCACGTGTAAAATATGACTAAAAATAATGGAAACAATAATAAAATGAAAACCCAATACTCAATAACATCAAATATGAACATGAACACAATGTGCTGACCGTGTTTTAAAAATAATAAAATTATCCCATCAATTTGAGAGTATATAAAAAATCTATACATTAAATTAAAAAGTAAAAAAAAACTTTAATAATGGCTAATAGAATTGTTGAAAGAGCTCGAATATATAGAACATTTTGTTAATTTTCAATGGAAGTTACTTTCTCCCTTTCGATCTCTCCTTCATTGACCAATAATGTGTCGTTCTATTAATAAGAGCAATAAAAGTAGTCAGTTCAGACTAGATGTGTTGCGCTGTTTAAAACCGTGGGAACAAAACTTTTCTTGCTATAAAAATTATCTATTTTCTCAGAGGCAGACAAAAGCCAGATTGAGTATATTGATCTCTACGGAGACTAACGTAAAAGCGCACCTGACTTCACTATGGAAGAACAGATGTCGCAAATTCCCTACCATATAAGATATTACAATGTTGCAAGCCTTCGTCTTCTTATGCGTACAGTGTTCCTTCAGGACGTTGGCGATCATGTCTCTCCGCAATTTCCTGTCCTTTATAGCTCTTAATAAATTTTGTCTTTTTGCTATCTCACCCAAACCCAGTCCCGGCATCAACTCGCTCAAGCTCGCAAGGTATGTTGATTTCCTCTGACCTTTTTACTTTCAATCTGTCCTGTGAGTATCAGTTTTTCTAAGCCTTCTTTCCTCAACATGTGTCCGAGAAATTTCGACTGTCTTATTCTGGTGTGAATTATAAGTGTCATTTAGGTTGTCAGTGTCTGTAGAACTTAGCTGTTGCTCACATGTTCGGTCCATGTTTTTCTCAGCATCCTCTTGTAGAGTTATATTTCTCTTGGATCACGTCTCTAGGAAGAGATTGTCTAGGATTTACTGCGGTATTATTTCTCGCTGTCTTTTGTTCAAATACTTTATGGCAACTTCTCCGACGAATTTTTTTTTCCCTGGTGTTCTGACTACGTGAATTTAAGCGTGCTACAAGATTGGCATCTAGGTGCAAATAGTTAAATTCAACCACCCCTTCTACACCAAACGTTTCTTTTCTTGCATTTCCCGCCTTTACTTGCTTCCCTGATAACTACAATCTTTTAAAATTTAAAAGCAATTTCAATATCCTCTCTTCATACCCAGCCTTCTCTTTCACATTTATTCTCTGTAACTCCCTGCATACGAGTGGCTTTCTCACCTTGCTTGGTGTCAAATCATTGTAAAAAAAAAAAAATAGGTGAACTGACATTATGTAAAATGTCAGTATTTTTTTCTTTGTTTCAACGATATTTTTCTGTTTTCTTAATACATTGCTCAGCTCTAAGAAGGCATTTTCTCTGTCCCAATGCGCCTTCGGATTTTCGTATAGCACTTTCCACTTGAGATACCGAAATTGTTCCACCTCTTTCGGTATCTCTAATCTGTAATTTTCATGTTAGGCTGCCCCATTTACTAACAACCATGCATTCACGCTGATTATAAATCGTTATCATTAACAGTAACGCACTACCTTGAGTGGCTCTAGATCCTTATACTGGATCAAATATAGTATAGAAAGTAAGAAAAGTGGCCTAATCGATTTGTCGTTTTCCAGAATGTCTCTTATTTTAATAGACCTTAATGTTCAGCAAGTAAAATAAATGTTATTGTTCGATTACTTCTTTTTCCGAATTTATTTACTATAAATCGATGGTGTATTTTTCTCAGACATGTTAACTCAGATATGGCTTCATTCAGACTTCAATAATGTAAAAACAGTCATTTAAGTGCCATATATACTATACGCTTCGGCGATCATGTCTCTATTCGACGACTGACTAGTCAGAAGATTTCCCCGGAGTTAGATGCCGTTTCTTTCTGTGCTAGACCCGTTGCCAACCAAGACTACAAGACCTACCCTGTCCTGTTAATAAATCTATGACTAGGGTAAGGGAGAAATGATGGATTCATACATTTTCCAAGCAAATTTGCGCGTAAGTGAACGTAAAGAACCCGACTGGTATTCGAACTCGGATCTCCGATTTCTCATTCCAACCCGATTTCCATTACACTATCGGCACATTCAAGATAATCATATGAAAAATATCATTCTTTTTCCAACTTGCAGTAAATAAGAAGTCTCAATGAACAAGCGAACTGTCAAAAATATCTGTTACTCAATGAGCAACTGAAATCGAAAGAATTAGCTTATTTACGATGTTTCATGTGAAAAGAAGATCGACATAGAGGGTGGTTCCTCAAAATAATGTGTTGAACTCCTAAAGATATTAAGCTAGGTAAAGAAAAATGTTCACATGGAAGGGAGAAATTAGTGTAGTAGCAGAGATTATAAAAGACCTTGCAAAATAATGTAAAAGTGATTTAGTAAATGTAGCCTTGATGTGGAACAAGACCGAAAACATGGAACACCCAGTCTTAATTGATCTAGCCATACAATCTTCATAATTATTATATTGCCGAAAGAGAGTGCTGTTCATGAACTGTTGTCAAATTTTCTTAAGTTGTTGATAAGTCTATACTAAAAGAAGATCGTCCGTTTTTTGAGGGGAAGGATTTGCCGAATGATTTTCATTTATGAAAAAATTTCAGAAGTCGTTAGTGCCTTGTAGAATTAAAGCAAGCGAGTTTTGTATTAGTTAGGGAGAATAAGCCTAGTTGCGAGTTTGTTCCAGACAACGATATTAAAAAACTATCTTTACGATGTCTCAAAATTCTTTGAGGATTACGTGTTATCTTAGAATCCAGTTCGTTCTTTTATCAATTCGTTGCGAAGACTAATTTCCCTGCTGACTGTCATTTATCCTGACAACTCATGACGAACAGTGATGAATAGTGAGTAATCCAGATAACAACATCCCCTCTCTATCTCTCTCTCTCTCTCTCTATATATATATATATATATATATATATATATATATATATATATATCGAGATCTTCTATTAGTATAAATATC